TTATTCTGCTTTCTACAGCACGGATCTCTATATCTATAAGCGTCTTGAAGTTCCCCCTGTCAACAATGGTGTACAGTCATGGTGTATGTCACTTCTTCTTTTACCAGTTGATCAATACTTTTGTGTCTGAGTAACATTGCAAAGCAAGCACCAGTGTCTCATATCAAATGACACTTAATCTCTTGGTTAGTTCAGTCATAAGGCTTTTCCTCCTTTTGATTCTTTTCCCTTATATTGTATTGCAATATGATTTATCAATAGTGTAATACATACTTTTTCTAGTATATTTATAATCATCATAGAGGCAAAATAATTCAGAGAGTTTTAAATGAAAGCTTTCCATGTGTGATTATGTTCGTGTGAGTGTTTGTCTCGAAATGTTGATAAAACTATTCTCAAAATACACATCACTGGTGATTTGTTAGGATAGTATTAGGAAAAAGGATGTATTTTGAAATTATAGCAACAACAAATGCATTCATTTTCTGACTTTAATATTTAGGGGGTAAATGTGATTCTGATTTGGTTATTCACCAGAAATAAATGTTTAAAATCCCTTTAACAATTTTTAAATAGTTATATTTTGTTAAAGCAGACAGAATGTTCAAATTCATTGCTATTCTAAAGTGATATTGGATATGTGTACATTCAAACAGATTTTAATTTTCAACTCTTTCCAAGCCCTTTCATTTGATTGTTTTTATAGACTTTGAAATTTCACTTACTTAGAACATAATCATGTTTGGAATTGCTCGGTCTATCAGAAATCAGAGTTGAAAATTGTGAGAATGTTACTACTTACATAACTACTCCTTTAACTCTCTTTTCAGATAAAATATTGGCAAATACAGTTAGATAGACATCGGTTAAAAATGTCAAAAGTTGCTGATAGGTAAGTATTTCCAGATGTCCATATAAATTTAAAAATTTCATACAACACTTAGATGTGTTAAAAATGGAAAGGGAATTATTTTTGGGAGGGGAGCTGAGAAAAATGATTGGAACCCGGTAAGAAATGTTATTTTGTTTTCCCTTTTTTACACGTAGAAAACTTTCAAAGATCTCTTG